ATATATTTATTTATTAAATTTATATAAATTTGTTATATATATATATATAAATTAAAATTAGTTAAAATTTAACAAATTTATATTAATATATTTATTTATTAAATTTATATAAATTAAATTTAAATATAATAAATTTATTCTATATATTTATTTATTAAATTTATATAAATTAAAATTAGTTAAAATTTACCAAATTTATATTTATATATTTATTTATTAAATTTATATAAATAACAAATTTATACAAATTAAAATTAGTTAAAATTTAACAAATTTATATTTTATATTTATTTATTAGATTTTTATAAATTTGTTATTTATTAAATTTATATAAATTAAATTTAAATATAATAAATTTATTCTATATATTTATTTATTAAATTTATATAAATTTGTTATACATATATAAATTAAAATTGATTAAAATTTAACAAATTTATATTAATATATTTATTTATTAAATTTATATAAATAACAAATTTATATAAATTAAAATTGTTTAAATATCTGATTAAAAACTTGTTAAATAAATTTGACATAGAAAATTCAAATAAGAATTTTCTAATTTTACAACAATTATTTTCAAATTCTTTTTTTAAATTAAAAAATACTCCGATAGATTCATCAATTATTTATTTATTTTTTTTTTAATAAATGACTATTGTTCTAACCCACATTAATAAAAAAAAAAAATATGAAATAATTAAATAATCAATTAAAATGTGAACTTACCTCGGGTACTGTTGTTTCATAGGGCGTGTTGATGAATTTAGGTGCGTTATCATTGATATCAGAAACCCTTACGATAACTGGTATCGTACGTTTTTTATTGGTCTGTTTGACGGTACAACTCAACTAAAAAACAAACAAACAAACAAACAAAAAATGAAATAACAAGAAAACAAAAGTAACGAGGTTAACGTACGTTGGTTGATCGTTAAAACGTATAAACTCAACTACTATATACAACTATACTGGTATAAATTTATTTTCAATCATTGAAGGATCAACGTGGCAAAGCCATCGTACTGTTCGTCGTCCTCGTCGTCCTCGTCGTCGTCGTCGTCGTCGTCGTCGTCGTCATCGTCGTCGTTTATACGATCGTTTGGATTTAACAACGCAATGGATGAAGCAAACCAAAAGCCATAAATGTTATCGATTTCCTTTCACGGATTAACCTACCTGCTTTTCAATCTTGTTACGAAGTTTAAAAAAAAAAAAAAAAGAGAAACAAGAAAAAAAGAACCACCAACCACAACACACAGGTGTGTGCCAATTGATTTCATCTTAATTTCATTTTTAATTTTAATTCTTATTAACACGTGCACACTAATATCATCATTAATAAAAATGTTTAAATGTTCTATTTTTCATTAAAAATGTATAACATAATTTGTGTATTTTTTTTTCATTTTTTTTTTCACTTTCTTGTATTTGACAATCTTATTGGGATTTTTAATTCTATATATATATATATAAATATAATGTGATTTGAACAATTTGTGTCAAAGTGATTATCCTAACTTTGTTCTATTATTTCGTAGTTGGAAAGCAGTTGAAGTTTATATTTCATGGTTCGTAGATAACACATTAGGAAATGGCAGGTGGTATTAAACTTTCACTACTCAGAGATATACACCTTTTAATGTTTAAAGTCGATTGACAGTACTTTCCGACATTTAAATGTAATTTTCTAAATGTAATTCAACTAACAGATGTAACTACTATTCCTATCGTAGTATAACGCTGACACGATATTTAACAAATCATTAATTGTTTTTTTTTTTTTTTTGCAAATTTTTTCTAACAAACTTTCTTATTCCTTTTTTTTTTTTTTGATAATTAATCAATGTTAATTAATTAATAAATGAATTAATAAAAATATACAAGACAAATATAAAACGTATGAAATTAAACGTATGTATGATTAATTAAATATAAAAATGATAGAAATATAATTTGGATTAATTGAATTATTGTTCATAGAAATTCATTTGAAACATTTATACTTCCTTATGATATTTAATATTTATAAGAAAAAAAAAAAAAATTAAAAAAAATGATTATTACGACGACATGTAAAATAAGTCGTAAACTTTCTCAAACCTCTTACAAACGAGACAAGTGGACAAGCTGTTGCATAATGATTAAAGTGCAAGACCTTTTCAAACCTTATAGGTTACCTTTGACAGATCTTGTTTGATTATTTTTATTTTTTTTAAATATTATTCTCACCTGAAAAACAACATGTGATAGATTCTCGTCATCTCTGTCGAGTGGTTCCAAAAGTTGAAGTTTTTTCCCAACTAATTTAAAAAGTGGTTGCCTGCCAGGAAATATTAGTTCCAAGGTTGTCTCGTTGTAAGGGTCACCAGAGACTGGCAATTCTTCTGGGGTTGTCTTTTGATCTATGGCTTAAAATAAAAAATAAAAAATTGCAACAAATTTGTTTAATAACAAAATAGAAACTCGAATAATATCATATACTTCTATAAAACGATATTTAACAAATAATATTACATTTGTTTTTTAAATAATACTGTAATAAATAATACAGTATTAAAATTTATAATATATTAATAATAATATAAATAATGTAATGGATATTACATTATATAAAAATAATAATACGATATATAATAAATATATATATATATATGTAATAAAATATGTTATAGAATAATTTCTTACACTACATAATAAATTATATAATTAATAATAAAGTTATTTAATTAATTATAAAATTATAATATTAATAAATTATAAAATTTATTATTTATTAAATTAAATAATAAAATTTTAAACAATATAAAAAATTATAAAATTTAAAATTTATTAAATTAAATTATAAGATTTTAAATTATATATATATATATTTATATATTAAAAAATTTATAATTTATTAAATAAAATTTAAAAATTTTTAATTTTATATATTTCTATATATTTTGAAATTTATATATTATAAAATTAAATTATAAAATTCAAATTATATATATATTTATATATTTTGAAATTTATATATTATAAAATTAAATTATAAAATTTCAAATTATATATATATATATATATATATATTATAAAATTTATAATATAATTAAATTAATAATATAATGTATTAAATTAAATTATAAAATAAAAAATAATATAATTAATTATAAAATTTATATATTATAAAATAATATAAAATCTATACCACTGTATAATAAAATTTATGAACTTTTTCGAAAAAAAATAAAATAAAATAAAAAGCAAAACAAATATACAACTATATGTTCCATATATTAATTAAATATACCAATTAAAAAAAAAAAAATAAAATAAAATAAAAATAAAAATATATTAGTAAAAAACTTTAAGAAAGAGAATTATTTTTCATCAATAATTTATTATATTTAACAATTTTTCATTTATAAATAATAATGAAGTACAACATAGAGTACTCGTTCATTTTAGAAAGATTGAGTAGTAGCATCAGCAAAAGGGTATTACGTGTTTAACGCGGCAACAACCCAGGAAATAACTTCCTGATGAGAACAGGGCTTCCCCTTGCCCTTCTCTTCCCTTCCCTACCCTTCTCTCTTTCTCTTTCTCTCTTTCTCTTTCCTAAGATTCATTCTATGTCGGATAATTAATGTTATCCGTGCGAACTAGGTGCAATCTCGAGCAATAACTCATTAGTGACGTGTTTCCTAGTGCCACGCATTCACTATAGAAAATAAAATCAAAGGAAAAGAAAGAGAGAGAAAGAGAGAGAGAAAGAGAGAGGAAAAGATAGAGAAAAAGAGAGAGAGAGAGAGAGAGAAAATATTTGACGATTCTTAAATCATTTATTTTCTCACCTAATCTTAATTCTAATAGAATCAAATATACTTAATGTTGTAAACGTTCAACAAAGTAATCAATCATACTAATTATTATTATTATTATTATTATTATTATAAGAACTGTTGAACAATTTTAAACAAAAATTATTCATCTAATTTATTTATTTATTTTTTAAATTATAAATCAACAATCATAAACGTTGAATTAAATATTTAAAAAGAAATTCTCATTTTATTATAAATTCGAAATAACGTAATGTAACATGACAATTATAATTATTTATATATATATATATTATTTACAAATTATTGATCTAATTTATT